TAGGGTTCCCAGAGGCTTCTTCCCAGATTGGAATCAAGGCAGCAGGCTGGAGTGATAATTCTTGAATCTACTGTTCTCATTCCTGTAATTAACCATCGCCACATCCCTGGGCACGCTGGGGTTCCACCTTCTTCCCTGCACAGCAGCTCCACTGGGTCTGGCATTGTAAGAAAGACAGGAGAGATGACAGGGCACTTAGTGCTTGCTCAGGTGAAAAAGGGATTGGAGGGTTATGTCATACTTTTAAGTCCGCCTTCTTCTGGAGTTTCTTCTATTCACAATGTCTCTCCCACAACCACCCCTAGACACTAGCCGTTGTTTTAAGTGCACAGGTTAAACGAAACAACCTTCACCTTGAAGTCTCAGACAAGGGTAATGAATTCGGCCACATAAAGAGTCAAATGTAGTTCGTTTTTTTCAAGTTCATGTTGTATTTGAAGAACAGACAATATAGATGAAATGGTAGGAAATCAGCCACGAAGTGACAGCTAACCTTCCACCATTGATGGTGATGCCTAACCCTCGACCAGAGGTAGAGAAACTGCTTCGGGGAATTCAAAGAAAAGGGACCATTTTAACCCAGAGCGTGAGGTAAGGTGTCAGGAAGGGTTCCAAAGAATAATAGCAACAACAGCATATCTCATTTGACTACACTAGCAGTGGCTGAGTTATGGAGGTGCTGTTGTTAGCCTTAATTAATAGCAACAACAGCATATCTCATTTGACTACACTAGCAGTGGCTGAGGTATGGAGGTGCTGTTGTTAGCCTTAATATTTTAGAGAGTGTGTGTGTGTGTGTGTGTGTGTGTGTGTGTGTGTACAGGGTTCCAAGGACAAAAGAGCAACAGATCAGGGAGAGGAGGTTATATGTGCTGAAAGCCACCGCCATACATGGGTGCTAAGAACTGAACCCAGATCCTCTGAAAGAGCAGCAAGAGCCCTTAACAGCAGTCATCTCTCCTACTCCTTGGTTTATTTTGCTTTGCTCTGAAACAGCATCTCTCCTAGGCCAGACTGGCTTCAAAATCCCTGCGTAGCCAAGGTTGACTTTGAACTCTTGATGCTCTTGTCTCAACGTCCCAGGAGCTAGGACAGCAAGTGCACAGCACCATAGCCAGCTTTCATCTTTATTACTATTAAAACAATACAACTATTATCGAGTGTAGTAATGACTTGAGAGAAAGGCTATTAATAAACTCACTAGTAACGTAGGGGACGCTGCTATGTCTCTCCCCTGCCCTCTCCTGAGGCTTCATCTCTGCCTGGGGAGACGCTCTGCTGACCACCTACAGACCTAGAAAGAAGTGGGTCACTTGATCCTCCCTAGACCGCTGCCAACATGCTAAAAGTGACAGCAGGGCAGAGTGGTCCCTAGGGTGCAGCAATGCTAACTCAACAAAATTTATTGGACACACTCAGTAAATAAGTCAATACTTAACAGGAATATTAAATAAAACAATAAAATAAAAAATAATAACTATTGACAAAATATCAAAGTTAAATAGACGTCAAAACAACGGAGTTTATCTTTTGCTTTGGACTCGAGGACAGCCCCTTAAATATTTATTTTTACTTCAAAAAAGATTGAAAATATTGCATGAAACTATTTATCTGATCTTCTGAGTTCTACCGTCGCCTCAACTATCTTGCTAGCTTTACTAGGAGTCTGGCTGCGGAGGAGCCGGCTCCGGAGCGGAACTCGCTTAGAGGAAAAGACTCCAGGACGCATGCGTGGGCGACACCCGGGCGGCTTCTTCCGACGCGCGCCCCCGTTCCCTTTGCGCGTCCCCGTCGTTCCTACCGGTCTGCGCCACCAGGCGGTTGGTTAGAGCGTTGAGAGGAGGAGAGGTGCCCGGGCCACGCGCGTCCCCTCGTGGCCGTGGAGGTGGCTGTTTTGCGGTCTGAGAGGTGTGTGTCATGGACCTGTTGTGATGCTGCCCTTAGATGCCCCAGGAGTCCAACCTGGGCCGGTCCACACACACCCGTAGGGACTTAGGGACGAATTTTACTGTGTATGTGTGTTGCCAACCTAAAAGAGAGGAGCGAGTGTCTAAAGAGAGTCTGGGCTGTGCATGCTCTGGACACAACGCACATCCATCTCCAAGGAGAGTGAGACAGGGCACTTGTAAAGGCAGAAGTCCGTTGTGCTGGTTTTTGAAACAGCCTGGGCTGACAGGGGTTATTTTCAGGTGTTGACTGCGGTTCATAGAGGAGACTGTCGGGCAAGATGTCCTGGTGACTTCCCTAGCAAGCAGCAGTGAGTAAGTAATCCACCCATTCTGGAGGCTGAGGCAGGAGAATAGCAAGTTTGAGGACAAACAGGGCTACATAGTGAGACCTGTCTCAAAAAAGCAAACAGAAGAAAAGGGCCCTTAAACATTCTTGGGAAAAGATTTTACGATATAGGCTCATGTGCATTGTATGCAGCACCCTTTCCCTTTGAACCCCCTGACTCAGTTTGCTGGTTTGTTTACGACTCCCCTTCCCCTCCCTGTATTTTATTATTATTATTTTTATTATTATTATTATTATTCAGAGTCTTGCTGACCTTTAGACCTGCCTGGCCTTGTACTCAATATGTAGCTGAAGATGACCTCAGGTTCATGGCAGTCCTCTTGCCTCAGCCTACATAGCTGTGATTAATAGCATGCACCATCCACCTAGCATGACTCCCTTTTGACATGGAAGTTTTCACAGTTTAGGGGCTAGAGGGAATGATTTGGAACCCAGGATCAGCTTTAGTCTTAACCTGATTTGAGGCAAGTCACTTGACTTCTCTTTTGTTTAATTAATTACATGGTTTTGTTTATTTAAAATATAACAGTAACACAACATAAGCTTAACCATACTTTTGAGTGCCCTTTACCACGCTCATGATGTCTTCGATAATTTCAGAATATTTCATCACTCCCAAAATAAATCCTGCACTTATTAAGCCGTCACTCTCCATTGCCTATTTCCTGCTGCCCCTGGCAATTGCTGTTCTTTTTTTCTGTCTGAGTTAGTGGAGTCTGGATATTTCATATGAATGGAATTGGGTATGTTTTGCTTAGCATACTGTTTTCAAGGTTCCTGCCTGTTTTAACAGGAACCATATGCCATTCCTCACCTTTTATGGGCAAATGATATTCCATTATGGAGAATTACTACACTGTATGTATTTGTTCATTAGCAAAATGAACTTTGAGGTTATGATGACATTGTGAGCATTTGTATACATGTCTTTTTTTTTTTTTTACATTTGTTTACTTAAGTGTGTGTGCACCTGTGTCGAGGTCAGAGAACAACTTGTGGGGGTAAATTCTCTCCTTCCACCATGTGGGTTCCAGTGCTCAAACTCAGATCACCAACCTTGACAGCAAGCCATCTCACCTGCTAAGCCATCTCACTGGTCCTGTACGGGTGGGGGATGGGGGGAGGCAGGGTATGGACATAAGTTTGTTTGCTAGGGGTGAAATTGGGGGCTTCTGTAGAAATTGGACATTTGGATTTTTGAGAATCAAGCTGCCAATTTGTTTTCCAGTATGGGCTGCCCGGTTCCCCACCAGTGAGTAAAGGTTCCAGCTTCTACCTTATTGGCACACATTCTATAGTGCATGGTATGTGAAGAGGCAACCCATTGAGCTTGTGATTTTCATTTTCTGTGAGTAATAATGTGAGGATATTTTAATACATTCATTGGCTATCTGTAGGGTTTCTTTGTAGAAATGTCTAGGACTTGTTGCGCATTATTTAGTTAGGTTGTGTTTTGTTGTAAGGGTTACTCTGCGTGTTCAGGATATGACTTAGCAATGCTTCCCTCCACTCTTTGCCCCAGAGTGCATCATTGTTAAATCATGATTTGAGACTTCTGCTTATTCTAAGCATTTGTTTTTGCCACCACCATTATGTCACTGACCATTTTGTGTATGGCACGAGATTCAAATCCAGTTTCATTGCTTTGCACTGGGACCATTAGTTAAGCACATTTGTTGAAAATGGTGCCTTTCCCAGCATGATGTCTGTCAGCCATGGTGCATGGAGTGTTTCTCTCTTCTGTGTTCGTGCTTTTCTCAATTCTGTTCTGTTCTGATGATTGACATTCTGCAGAAATGTTGATAACATGAAGTGTGGGACTTTTAACTTGATTCCTTCCCAAAATGGTTTGTGTATTCAGTAGTCCTTAGAATTCCATATGAACTTTAGGACCAGCCTGTTCAAGGTGGTTGAGTTTTGAGCTGAAAATCAACTTGGGAGGGGTTTCTGTCATGGATCTTTCAGTCTTCGAATACAGGGCATTCTTTTGTTTCTTAGGCCTTAGCTTTCTTCTCTTTCCTTCCCTTCTTTCCTTTTTTTTTAAGCCATGTTTTATAATTTTTATGTATAAGTATACTTCGTTAGCTTAATTTATTCTTAAGCTTTTACTTCCTGGTATTCTTGTGAATGGAATTGATTTTTAAAGATTGTTTATTACTAGTGTATAGAAACAAGGGTTTTTGTTTGTTGGTCTTGGTTCCTTCAACTTGGCTGTGCTTATTAGCTTGATCTAGGACTTTGTGAGTTCACTGGGGACCCTTGTATATGGAATACTGTTTGTACCATTCCTGAAGGAAGGCTTGTTGTTTTCCTTTACAATTTCAATGACTTTGATTTCATTCCTTTCTTTTCTGTGTCCTATTCTTCTCCCCCCTTTTTTGTCTCCTTTCTTCCCTTGTTCTTCTTTAACCTATTTTTTTTTTGTCTGCCCAGTCACTCTAGTTAGCACTTTCGTGCTTATGTTGAGTAGGAGGTCAGACAGCCTCGTCTTATTTCTAGTCCAAGAAGGTTATCGTTCAGCCTTTCACTATTGATTATGATGTGTCTGTCACATTGAAGAACTGCACTGCTGTTCCTTATTTGTCAAGTGTTCATATCTATTGCCTTTTCTGCTTCAGTTGAGATGATCAGCAATGAGAGTAGAAGAGAGATGATGTATTCAGCCATAGACTGAAGCCAGAACTCCTGAAAGCCTTCAGCTCTGAGTCCAGTTTGCATATATTTTATACTCTAAACCCACAAAGGGGGGTAGTGAGCATGCAAGCAAGCAGGACTTTTCAGAATCCTACTCATAGACAGCATTTATCCTTTTATTTTTCAAATGTATATGTTACAGCTGACAGATGAACGTGTCTGTGGTCAAGTTGCTAAGAGCAACATTCACTTCGGGGCTGGAACTTTTTAATTGCTTTAGCCCCTGTCCAGGTAACAAGGTGAAGTGATGTCTGGTAATAAGCAGTGCGTTCACTAAATAAATCAATAAATCAGAATCTAATAATTGGTCTTTTCTACTTTATTCTACTTCAACGTGGCCATATATTATGTTATATTGAGGGACCTTATTATTGCTTTACCCTACATTACTGAGATAAATCCAACTATCACTTGATAAAAAAAATTCTTAAATATTTTTCTGGATTCAGCTAGCTAGTACTGTTAAGGGTTTTGAATTTATATTCTTAAATGATATTGGTCTGTAGTTGGATTGTGATGTTTTGCTCTGGTTTTGGGTACAAGTAATGGAATGAGTTGGAGAGTGTGCCATCTCCCATTGTTTGGTGGAGTCGTATGCATGTTTATATCTGTGTTTATATACATTGCTTCTGGCTCATGGTTCAGAGATCTCCAAACACTTTGAACCCCTGATGACAGGAGTATCTTTTGTCATTCATAACTAGTTTCTCTGGTGATATTTTGTTTATGATCTAACAAATAAAGCTTGCATGAAGATCAGAGTGAAAAGCTAGCCACATTAGTTAGCCATAGAGGCCAGGCAATGGTGGTACACACATTTAATCCCAGAAGCCACACTAGTTAGCTATAGAGGCCAGGCAGTGGTGGTATCCACCTTTAATTCCAGCACTAAGAGACAGAGACAGACAGATCTGTTAGTTCAAGACCACCCTGAGCTACACAAAATTGATCAGACTAAAGGTGATCTCAGCATTTGAGATCCAACACCTTTAATCCCAGCACTAGAGAGGAATATAGTGTAGTCTGAGGTTTGGTGGAGACAGATGCAGTCTGGAGATGCAGTCTGAGGACAGGATCAATCACTCTTTTGGTCTGAGCATTGGTAGAGTTGAGAACTCTCTAGTAGTTGACCACTTCGCTTCTCTCATCTTCAGCTTTAACCCCAATATCTGTCTCTGGGTTTTTATTATTCATGCTACAAGTTGCTTTTGACTTTTCCATGAATTTGTCCTGACATGGAGATTACTGATATCAGGCTCTAGGTCAGCTCAGGATGGGAGCTGGTTGCCAGGGGTTTGGGGGGTGGGGATGGGGAGACTGTTCGGATAAGAGGGTTTTGGCCATCATCTCTAAGAGAGAAGGAGGCCGGAGCTTGATTGAATCACCAGGGACTGTTGACTTCATCTATCATGATTGCCTAATGAACCTGGATCAAAGCCTCAAGAACTAAGAGAGCCTTTGGTGAACAGGTTGCTGTGCAGGGAGTCACCCTGGGAAGGAGATGAAACACTGTGCCCCCATCACCTTGCTCTGCATGCTCTTTCACATGCTGCTCATCAGCACTATGCTATAATTGTAAGGGTACAAGTTCCTCAGTCTGTAAGCTGCACTAGTGAGATTTGAAGCTAGAAGGACTGTAGATCCCTTGTCACTTGAAGGTACCCAAGCAGAGGTCCTATTGTGTAGCTGCAACTGGAGTTGAGCATTTGTGTGGGCCTGAGTCTTAACGTAGGGAGATAGCCTATGCTAGTACTGCATACTTAGTGCCAGAGTTGGGCTTCATTGTAGGGTACTTAGTTGGAAATTTTGTCATTGCTTGGGAAATCAAGCAAGAATCAGCATAAATTCTTTCTCACTCCAGATATTATCTGATCCTGTCTTTTCTTGTGCTGGAAAGTTGTTTACATTGTTCATTTTGTCTATTATAAAAGGTCTATTCACATCTTCCACTTGTTCTTGAAATTTATGTGTCATTGTATTTCTAGGATTTAATTTTGTCTAAGTCGTCAAATCTATTGGGTTGTAATTTTTCATACTATTTTCTTACAATTGGTTTTATTTCTAAAAGGTTGGTAATGTCTTCTCATTGTATGAACTGATGATATGACTACTCCATGGTATGGTTAAGGAGAAGATTTTATTCTAGATAGGAGGGGGAGTGCAGCCAGAGGCATTTGGTAGAGTCCAGAGTAGAGAAAAAAAGTAGACTGAACATGGATAGCAGACTGGACCTGAGCACGAGTAAAGCAGTAACAGAGTAGAGAGTTAGGGAGAGGGAGAGCACAGAACAGAGGGGGAAGCAGAGAGATGAAGACAAAGAGAGCAAGGATAGCAAAAATAGCAGGGTTATAAGGAGAATGGGTAGCTTTTGGGAGGGAAGCCATGAGATGGAGAAGTTAAGGGTAGGGGAGGAGATAGGAAGAGCTAGGTCTTTGTGATACTGAGGGAGCCTAGAGGCCATCATACATTTGGTATGCTAATAACCACCACAGGTAGCCATTTGTCCTTTGAGTTAGTGTTAAAGCAAAATGACCCCTTTTGGTAGAGGGAGCCTGCTTCACAGTCCCTGAGGAACGCTGGCTTTTGTCTAACTGCAAAAATTTGGGGAAAGAGAGTTTCCTTTGGACCTGACACTCATTGCTTCCAGATTTTAATAGTTTGAGTCATCTCCTTATCTTGATCAGTCAAGAAAAAGTTCTGTCACTTTTGCTGAGTTTCCTTTTTATTTTCTCCTTGCATGTATGTTTGTGTGGTGTGTGCTCATGTGTAGCATGTATTTATGTAAGTGTGTTCGATTTTGTGTGGGCACATGTTTATATTTGCATGTGTGTTAAGGACTAAAGTTGATGTGGATCTTCTTCAATTGCTCTTTCACCTTATTCTTTGAGGCAGGGTCTTACAATCAAACTCAGAGTTCACAGACATGATTAGCCAGGGTGCTCTAGGAATCCTTGCCCTTCC